TCACATTGAGCACTATGGTATCACGGGTATTAGAACCACAGCTGCAAATTGTGAAATCATTGACAATCTCTTGTCCTACTGCAAAGTAACAAATCGTAGTAATGAATTCAGGCCGCTTATTTCAGAGAGTTTAAGATTAAACCCTGCACAGGAATTTCACGATGCCTCAATTTCAGGACATCTGGGAATAAGAAAAACAGTCCATAGAGTAAGGGAAACTGTTTATTTTCGACAACTACAAAAGATTGTGACTCAGTATGTCAAGTCTTGTAATTTTTGTCAGTTAGTTAATGATATTAACTAACTGACAAAAATTACACCGACCGAATACTTAAATAGCATAGAAGCTACTTTACCTGATGAATTAATTAGAATTAAGTGACCTGCTAGGTCCTTACCCACATAGAAAAATTGCCCTTAAAAGAAAATCCACTAAAATTTCTGCAGACTCATTTTTAAATAAATTTATATAAAATTATGAACTTAAACTAATATCAGACAAAGGAGAGCATTTCATTAATCAACTTTTTGAGGATTTGTGTACAGGTCTTGGCATGAAACATTTTAAGATGGCTCCTTATCAACCACAGTCGAATACTGCAGACCGAACTAATAGAAATACAGTTATAATTATCCTCAGATATGTAGAAATTATCACAATTTTTGGAATGATTGGAACTCGCATTTTCCACGAGGAGGTTAAATATGAGTCTACAGAGAAGACACCGGCTGAATTATTTCTTGGAGAAAAGTAAAGTAATTGTACACCTCGATAAATGCTTTTTCTTCAAAAGAAGTTCGCGAAATGTAAGATGGTATATACATAGAAATTAGTGGATGAGGTAATTAGAATTTCAGATATGACCAAGGGGAAACTAAAGTTTTATTATGAATATGAAAGGCAGGAGGTTGATTTCAATGTAGGAGATAAAATCTTGAAAGTTAAACATTCCCTTTCTTGTGCACTACAAAGAAGTGTTGGGAAGTTTTGTAACAAGTTCAAAGGTCCATTTTCATTTGAGCGAATAATGGAAACAGTGGTATATCTAAAAGGTCAAAATGGTGAAGTACTAAAACTAATGTAGACCAGATCGACGGCTATTATGAGCCCACCAATATGCCACTCCTAAGTGATGTTTTGTGGAAACCACCTAGTGTGAGCAACAAAGGGCCATCTAAGAAGGCAATGGATGCAGCATCACCATCAAGAGTACAAGATCTGCAAAGAAAAACACAAGGAGGCCGTAAAGGGTGAGAAAGAGAAGAAAAAAAAAACAGTAGTTCGACGAATCTTCAGAAAGTAAAGCTACATAGGAGGAAGCGAAAGAGAAAGATAGAAATTTATCCAAAAGTTCCTCAAATACGGTCCCTCAAAGTTCCCTCAAAAGTCAAAGTTCCTTAAAATACAAAGATCCCTCAAATACGGTGTACAAGCTAGTGCCGAGCAATGAATGCATAAGGTATTTTCTCTCTCCTTTCGGCATGCCTTCGTGGCCTAGCACACTTGGTGCGTTTTCGAGAGGTCCAGGTTTTGAGTCACCGCGAAAGCACTGCTCATTTTTCATTTTTCACGTCTCCAGCATAAGAAAACCCTAATGACTCCACAGTGGCGCCCGAATTAAAATTGGTGGACGACAATTTTTTGCCACCAGGATTTGGCGAATGGGTCCCCTAATCCCCAGTCGACCTTTAAAAGGGGAGGTGTATAAAGTATTTTCTCCCTCCTTTCAGCATGCCTTCGTGGTGTAACGGCTAGCACACTTGACGCGTTTTCGAGAGGTCTAGGGTTCGAAACCTGGCTAGGGCACTGCTCATTTTTCACGTCCCCAGCATGAAAAAACCATAATGACTCCAAAACTGTTGGGAAATAAACGTACGTAAAGCCTAACTATGATCGATGTTTACAACGACAAAAATAGGTCATGTCAACCAAACCAGAATTACACTGCAAACGACCGATTGATCACGACCCAGGCCAACGGCTGAAGTTTCATGCAAGCCAGAGGAGGTTTCGGGCGGCACAGCAGTTAGCGAAGGAATGTAAAAAAACATATGGAATGTAAGAACATTCTGAATGTAAGAAATGAATTAGTGAACTCAAGACCCTTAACATATATTTCAGAACATCCTAATGACTTGATCTCCCTTACGCCATACATGTTTATACAGAACAATTTGACGGTGAGTGTATCAGATTTAGACTACCTCGATAAGAATGGCCTAAATAAAAGGCCTAATAAATTAAAGGTATATATATATATATATACGGACTTAAAACGAGCTATTGATGAAACAATTCAGATCTGAATACTTGAATTAATTAGTTGTACATAAAGGGAAAACAGTATTTCAAAATATTGAATTCGGAGGTGTAGTTCTCGTGGAGTGTGAAGACAAAAGATTTTCTGGCCTATGGCTAAAGCTATAGAGACGTATCTAACTTAAAACGTCTTCATGTGAATTAATTCATCCTGTCCAAGATATATATTCTCTTGAAGTACACAGTATATTCAAGAATGAAGCAGATAAGAATAAAAATATTGAATTTTCACTTCCAAATCTAAGAAAACGTAACATAACAAGAAGTGGCAGAATTATTAACCTCCCTTCTCGTTTTAGAAACAATTTAACATATATTTTGAACTCTAAAATCCTAAGGAATAGTTTGAAAGGTATAGGTTGATTAAGTATCACTTAAATAAATAGGCGTGCTTTGGAAAAAATTTGTTTGATCGCGCGGGTCCCTTGGATCCAGAACGCGCGCTTGCAGGTTAATAATGGTTTTTAAAATACAAGACAAAATACTGCGATAACAATAAATGGATATCTTCGTTTATAAAAACAAAACGTGGATTATTGAGAATCAGTAAGAGTTCATCAAGCGAAAGCTCAGATATTATGAGTGTGTTGTTACATCACGCATATCCATAACTGGCGCTAAGTTCATATTGTAACATTTAAAGAAAGCGGAATGTATAGTAACAAAAAATAATTAGGATGCATACAGTACGGAACGAATAAAAAAGGCTTTATTTACAGAATGGCTTTGGTTCAAAAATTGTCTGGCCAAGAGGCAGAATAACAAACTAATGAACGTTAGTAAGGAACATGATCTCTCCTTACTGCAATGGTTGGGTTGCGCCATCTGTTGATACTAAACACCAGATTACCAAACAGCTCTTGGGGTAGGAGTTCCTGTTCTTCAAGAAGTACCTGTTCTTCGGAGAGTACCATCGTGCCGCCAGGCGTCTGCGTGAAACGTCCCACATATGTTCACTGAGATTCATATCAGAGAAGCATACTAGCCAATCCATTCTATGGATATCTTGACTATCGATAAGCGCGCACAGGGACACAGGGACATCTTTTGTCGGGTGGCGTATGCAACTGCTGAGCAATACTGCCCGCCATCTGGTTTTCGATCTGCATGGCGATATAGCGGTCGTCCGTCAACGCTGTTTTCCTTGCTCTACCCCCAACAACCTGACCCGATCTTTCGTACAACTGCACCTGTCATTTAGAATACTTTTGAGCTAAAGAAAAGGTACTTTTAACAGTTTCAAACTTCTCAAAAATCCTACCATAAAAAATCCTACCATCAAACAATAAGTGAATTAATAAGTATATTAACAATAAAGTTTCAAACGGACGTCAAACCACGCCTCTCCACAAGGTTGTCACTCAAACTACCACGTGTGAAGGGGTGCTGATATTTTCTTGTAGCCATACTACACATACAATCCCATTTTCATTTGAGAATGAATGCCTAGAAATGCACTTTCCTTTCTTCTTTTTAAGTTGCCTTGCACTACGCTCGCTGATTCTTTGCGTTTTGTGTGCCCTCTCACGTCATGGTGCTGATACCTACATTCACCTCAGTAGAAGGGTGATGCATGTGCATCACCTTTCTACTGAGTTGGATTTTCATTGCACAGACCACAAAAGTCCCTTTGCAATGATTTGATGGCTGCATATTAAAAAATGAATCCGTTTCTTACGTTTTGCACAGATTAGTGTATATTTGTATACAATTCGTTTCCCCCCTTCTCCCGAAAAGTTTTAGTTTATTTTTATCATTTCTAAGCGCACCTGGGTGATACGTCTAAAGGGATTCAGCTGCTTTCGTCGAAAAGATTTAAGAAGTGTCTCTTGTATTCAAGTTACACATGGGAAAAACTATGACAAATGCCATGCAGTCAGTAGTGATTTGGACCGAGGTCGAACTATCTGCATTTAGTCTCCTTATTACTAGGCATCTGGTAGGGCTCTTCTTTGCAAAGAAAAGACGTCAATTAATATATATTTTAAAAATTCGTTAGGATTTACTTTTATAATTTTATCAATTAAAATACTATATGTCAATATTAGGTTTTATGATATCTATAAGAAATGTACTTCCTTTAAACAAAGCAATATTCATAATTTATCATTTTATGTTTTAAGAGTTTAGTGTCCTGAAAAGTACATTGAATTTAGATTCATTCATTTGCATAATTGTGTAATATATTGCAATATATTACACAATTATGCAATTTATTTGCAATAATGTGTAATATAATAAATATTTAAGATTATAAATGAGATTCAAGCAATAGCTATTGTAGCATATATTCCTGGTAAATTTATTAAGCACAGACGGTAACTGCAGTTACAACAAAATTAATAAAGTTTCTTACTATTCGTGAAACTTTATAAATTTTCCGTTTAAGGCAAAATATTCAAATACATTTGACAAAATATTTATTTAGTATCAATTATAAAGGCGAAAATCTATGAAATATGGTAATTTTTGTTAATGTTAAAACAACAGAGCTGTCGTCAATAATATCTACACTCAAGAGCCAAAACATTATGACCACCTGTCAGGCGCGCAACACAGAAAAATGTAGGGCTGGTCATAATGTTTTAGCTCTTGAGGGTAGATGTCGCGTCAGTTCGGTAAATCCGATCTCGTATTCTCAACTAAAGATTAACTGGAAATGTTATTACTTTGTACTTACCTACAGTAGCATTTATTTCCTTCCATCCATCACGAATAATAACTGGCAAGTTTCTTGGAGTTAATACAACAGAGCGTGCAGAGACATTATTAACTGTAGTTGACGTAATTCCTTCAGACGCAGTCTGAGTGATTTCTTCAGTCTCAGTCCTCGTAGAGCTTTCAATTGTAGTTTGCGAAATATTTTCAGTTATAATTTGCGTAGTTCCTTCAGCTAGGTTCTCTGTGGTCTGTTCGTTGTCTACTTTCTGAGAAGAAATTTGTGCAGCTGCTGCATTCGTCTGCTCTGTTAGATCTGTCATAATTCGCGGGAAAAATTTTGGATTTTTCCGTTCAGTGGGTACAGAAGCTTTTGATGTGACAAGCGCAGTCATGTTTTGGATAGTGGATTCAGTCCTTTCAGATACAGATATCTTATTCATTTGAGTAGTGGAACCAGACATTTTCATAGCACCAAATTTATTTACAGACTCTCCTGTTATTGGTCTGTCCAACGTCATGTCGTCATCAACGTAATCATCCTCACTTTCTTCATCTTTGTCATCCGGAGGTATCTGACGCATCCATAAATTAGAAGTTACAAATTCTTGAATTCGAATGGCTGTACAAAGATGTCTTTGTGAAGGATGTAACAACAAAACAAAAACTGTAATTGCTCCAAAGGTTTGAAACATCATGCTCATGGTAGGTGAGGTCCTTCTAATCAGAGAGGAGGAAAAAGATTAAGTTTGTAATTTTCTTCCTCAAAATAGTTATTAAGACTATACAGTATTCTCTCATTTTTTATCACTGTTGGCTTTAACATTCGATAATAGTGCCGTTTTAACATGCTTCGATCATGCGCGCAGCAATAGACTACCCACGTATTCGCGTACAATGTACGTATTTGTGTACAATTTTGAAAGCCATATCTTGAAGTATTTATCAGCTGTAAAAATGGAAATATCGGAAATTCAGGTTTTTTTTTCCCTCAAAACCTTTCTTGTTTCTTTAGATGATTCTTTTTATTATTGATAAATAGAATTATTTAGAAATAGTCTTGAGATATCAAAGAAAGCATTTTGCTATTTTACGAAGATACCGAAGAGTTTCCTGCCGTCTTTTCATAGTTAAACAGAAAGTAATGAGTGCATTTTTAGTTTTACAACAAAATAAAGAATTTAAAAGAACTGAATTTCTTGGATTACAGGAATCACGCGTGGGCTATCTGTTTAAAAGCAGGGTGAACTTTCGAAACGAATATATATGGAAAACGGGCTCATATTCAGGTTACTCATGCAAAAACTACGGAAATTCCTGAGCAGCTAACCCGTTCGCCAAGATTTTATACATGGTCGAACAACCACTCTTCAACTATTTCACCATTCGGCCACTGTGAACAGCAAAATATGGTAAAGAAGTGTTAAAATCTGAATGATGGTTTTAAAAATTCCTTTTTATAAATATAGGCTTTTCGTTTCATAGGAAATTTAATATGTATTAATGAAAGAGCACAATATTAAAGCTTATATAAACAATTAGAAAATAATGCTCAAATAAAGATTCCTTTTAGTTATTATTACTTCCTTATTAAATTAATCACTACAGTTTGAGCGCCAGCCTCATATTTTGAAGATATTTTATCAAATTTGAAGATAGTTATTAAATATTTATAATTCCATTTATTTAGACAATTATTAGTCATTCAATTATAGTTAATTCTGTAGAAAAACGTTTCTGACTTCAGTTTAAAGTTTATGTTAAATTCTGATATTTCAGATGATTTTTTATGACTTAAAATAAATTGCATTTTCTTTTAAATTAGATTTTAATAATGATCGTATTGTCCTAAAATAAAATTATGAAACTAACCTTTCAATCTTTCCATTTTATTAATATTTAAGGGGTACAAATAGGGCGCAGCCCCATCCACCTAATCGACAAGATTTTATGACAAACAAGGGCTGCGCCAAGCAAAAACCACAAACGAGGGCATCCAGCAACCCGGCCATGTCCCGGCAACAGGCAGTAAAATTAAAAACAAACCTAAAAACTTCAAAAACTTCAATTTAAAAACACTATAATCGGGAAACCAAAGGGTGTTAAGGGGCTCCGGGTAACAAAAAACATGTAAAGAAAACCAAGAAAATAAACTAGAAAACATCACAACAGGAAAGCAAGAAGAAAGAAAACAAAAAACTAATCAAAATGGTGGTTAGTAAAAACAAAATATAAGGAAAGGACAAAACAATTACAAACCACTCATTCTCAGAACAAGCAAAAGTCCAATCAGCACACTTCAAATCGATCGATGTAGAGTGTAAAAACCTCCAACCAACAAAACCATCAGCAAAACCGGAAAAATAAAATCACAGAACTCTAGAAACCGCCACTACCAATAATCCGCCTAAATATGACCAGCGGAAGGATCATACCAACAAGCCGCTGAGACACTAGTTCTCAGCGGCATATTAAATTAATATTTAATAATTACATAAAACTTAATGGCAGTATGTAAAGTTTTCAATGTGTACATTAAGGTAAACGTTATCTAAAAGTTTTCTCTTTCAGTAGCAAATAGTATACAAAACAATAATTAACATTGGTAATTACTCCATGTGATAACCATACAAAACTATAATAGATTTAAACTGAACATGTTAATCCTCAAAATAAATGTGTGGTTGGAAGCGTAATTATACAATAAAAAACACCAGAAGACAAATCATTTTGTTCTACAAAACCAGAGCTGCAACACTTTGAAAATCCTTAAGCTTATAAACTATACATTAAAAACATTGATTACACAAGATATATTAAATATATCAAAAACAATGAAATACATATAAAATACATAATTATATAAAAGCATAAAATACACCACATAACGCACTGAATAAAATTATGTTAAAATTCCATATAAACACCAATATCTCAATCTAAAATTATTGTAACACAAAATTTAAAAACAAACTTTTATCAAATAAAAATACCAACATCAGAGCGATTATTATTTAGAAAACACATAAGTTCCCTTGAAAATTTAAATTCTTTTTCAGCACCTGTAAAAATCTTAATAAAATTATATTTTTTTTTTTCGTATGTCATAAGTAAGTGTACATTCTTCTACATAGTGCCTTTACCGATCCGACAACTCCACAATTATGACAATATTCATTCTCTTGTATGCCAAATCTTTTAAGATACACCGGGAAGCGCCCATGTCCAGTAACAATTTGATTAAAATCCAAATGACAAGAAATACTTTTATTAAACATAGGTTTTAAATAATAGGCATATTCTTTTCTTCTATTCGAATTATTCCAATTATCATACCACAAATCAATATAATACTGTTTGATTCTAGTAATAACCATTTTTCTTGAAGGCTGGACAACGGAACACTCCCCGGAAACATCCAAAGTCGCCTCTTTGGCCAACACGTCGGCCCTCTCGTTACCTTCAATACCCCACATGGGACTTAACCCATCTAAATTTAATATCATGCAAACCTTCAATTTCTTTATATAAACACTTAATATCCATAACTAAAGAGTTATTACAATCGTAGCTTTTCAAAGCCTGTAATCCAGATAAACAATCACTATAAACTACAATACTATAACTCTTAGATAGGTTTTTCTTAATCCATTTCATAGCAAAATAAATAGCAGCAAGTTCAGCCTGAAACACACAGAATTAAATTTTTCTAACTTTATCTTTGAATAATCAATTTCTATACCATAATAGTAAACAACAAAAGATAGGCCAACACTTTCCCCAAACCTAGAACCATCAGTGAAAATATCAAGTTCACCAAAACAATCAAAATTCATTTCATAATTAATGCTCATTCTCTTGGCTGGGTGTATGCAGTAAGGATTAACATTATAAAATGCAGTACAACAAGCTAAATAATCACCATAATACATAAAATCTATCTTACATGTAGATAACAAAAATTTATCATAAAAGAACTTATAAAAAATCGAGAGGGGCGGCGTGCCGGCCAATACACAGGCAGTTTCAGTTGGAGTTGTCCTAAAACACCTAGCCAGTGACAGCAGCCAGGGCCGCTGAATCGTCAATAACTTATTCCTGATTCTCAACAACTCCGCCGCTCTGGAGCCCCAACAACCAATTCCGTATAACACAATAGGAACAACAACTACTCTATAAATAGTTCTAATAATATCTCTCTTAAGGTCGATGACACCCGCTGGAAAATTTCTCTTATAAAATAAGAGTATTGAATCTGTTCTCCTTTGAATTTCCTTGAAGTGTGACTCGAAATTCAGTTTATCATCTATTAATGACTCCCAAGTATTTGAATTGTTCGACTCTTTTTAATAATGTTCCCTGGAATCGTAATCTGGGAGGTCTAGTCTTTTTTCCCCCATTTGGGAAAAACAAAAAAGATGTCTTTTGTAAGTTGAAGATGAGTCTTTCTGTTATAGCCCATCTCTCAAGGACATCACACACCAATGTAAATCTTTTTTCTAATTTTTCAAGAGACACATCGTATACCACACAAAGTATGTCATCTGCATAACAGATGATTTCAACACCCTCGGGAAGACTCGTATTCAGCAAGTTGTAAATTACTGCACCCCAGAGCAGCGGAGCACTCGAGGATCCCTGTGGGCAACCTTTATAAACTGATTTAACCACTTCAGAATCCCCACCATATGAATAAACAACCTTCCTATTGTGAAAGTAGCTACAAAAAATTTTTAATATATTGCAAGGAATCTTAAAAATTCACGAGGGTGGAGAGCAGCGATGACCATATAATGGAGTCAAAGGCCTTTGAAATATCAAATGAGACAACAGTTACATGATAATCTCTTTTTTTTTTCCTCAGAAATAATATTGATCAATTTATACAAAGCATCATTGGTTGATCTGCCTGCGACAAAGCCAAAACTGTCTATCCGAAATAAAATTTTCTCTGTAGAAAAAATGATACAATCTATTGGTGAGAAGTCTATCCAGGACCTTACTAAAAAATTTAAACAAGCAAATTGGTCTAACCGCATGTTCATTTTTCGGTATAAATATAATTCTTGATATTTTCCACGCCCTCGGAAAACCAACAAGCGGAAACATGTATTATATAATAAAACAAAAAACTCTTCGTAATACTTATAAAGGCACTTCACAACCACTGCAGAAATATTGTCCAGTCCAGGAGCACTTTTATTTCTTAGTTTATTAATTACATATCCGATCTCATTAGAAGTAAAAGGCAGATCATCAGCACAACAATTTGAAAATTTTAACAATTCATGATCAATAATCCCATCCTCAAACTCACCACAGTCAAAATTCTTATTAAAATATTCCTCAATCACCTCAGTGTATTCCTTATGTTCACCCTCCTGGACTCTACTTATTATCTGTGGTAGCCGACGCTTTCCCTGGGCAAAACGAAAGTAACAGTCATGATATACCTTATTTTCCAAAAAATGTTTGATTTTACTCTCATATTTACTCTTCTTAATCTGCTTTCTATAAAGTGCCATCTCTCTTTTATATAAAACTTTTCTCTTATTTCTTGTTTCTTCATCAATATCTCTGAACTGAAAACTCTTTCTCAATGCTCTCGTCCGTCGCTTCATTTTTTGCTTCATTTTTTGCAATAGTTTTTCTTGACCTTATTTCCACGTATAGTCAGGTACCTCTTAGCCCTCTGGACAATCAACCTTTCAAAGTCATCC